TTTTTGTTGGCAAGGTGATGTCTCTGCTTTTTAGCATGCTAAATAACCTCTATGATCCATGAAATGAACTCTAAGAGAAAAGCTACAAAGTCAGTAGACTTTTTTTAAAACTTGCATAATCATTCTGTATACCATTAAAATAACCTTTCTCCCCTTATTATACTGTACATATACACAATATAATATAAATATACTGTACATGTACTGTATATAATGCTACTGTATTAACTTTTTGACTAAGATGTATTGAGGCTAAGCATGTTTCCCTTGTCTTTGTAAATGCAGCATTGAATAGTAATTGTAACCAACAATGAGAAGAAAAGTGGCAGGAAGACTTAGGCTTAGTCCTAATGAAGAAGCTCAGCTGTTGAAAGAAGAACACGAAAGAAGAAGAAAATTAAGGCTGCAACAGGTGTGTTTCCATTGGGAGGAGTCATTTATCTTTGAGCAATTAAAAAAGCAGAAACTATATGCAGCTGTTAATGGTGGGGGTTGGACTCGATGACCTCCAAAGTCCCAACTTTATTATTATTATTATTACTATTACTATTACTATTACTGTTACTGTTACTATTACTGTTATTACTACTATTATTATTATTATGTATATGGCAACAGTGCATTCTGTGGAGTGGGGCAAGATCTATACTACCCTAGAGCTGCAGAGGTGTGTGGGAATAATCCTTTACATTTTCTAGTGATCTTTAATCTCTTCCTGGCTCCAGATTTAGGAGGAAGGATGGGATTTTCTGCTCACTGTTTCCATGCCAGCCAAGTAGACAAAATGTATCATAATCAGCAAGTCCAAACTTCCAGCTCTGGGAAGGGAATATATGACACTAATTTCTTTATTGCTAAGATCTCTACACAGGGTTAAATTGTCAAATGCAATTGAGGCATGAAGTTAGGATTAGAAGGCAGGGAATTACTTTTCACCAAAATAAATGGATGACATAGCCCAGTTATTTATTTAATTTATATACTGCCTGAATCAACACTTTTGTGGTTCACAAGTTAAAAAAAAAAATTAAAACAGTGAAAAAGAAATAGAAGAATATAGTGGTACCTCCGTGCTCGATTGCTTCAAAACTCATTTAATTTGGTATCTATGCATTCTGATGCGAAAACGTTGCTCTGATACTTATTGTTTGTTTGGTACTTGACACACTGCAATAGGAAGTGAGGGGTAGCGACAGAGAATGGACAGGAAGTTGGCAATGTCGGGAAGGACGCTGCAAAAGGAAGCCGGGGACGGCTGCAGAGGGCAGACAGGAAGTCGGCCATGCTGGGAAGGTTGCAGACATAGGAAATGGAACAGATAGGAAGTCCTTCCCTGCTGAAACAAAAGGTCACGTGGTAAACTACGTGGTTTGTTTGGTACTCATCGTTTTTAGTACTTGTCGTGCCTCCCAGGACCAATTAACGAGTACCGAGATACCATTCTAGACAAGAATAAGGAGTAAAGAGGATAAAAACCAAATAGGAATGAAAAAGAGACAGACCTCACCTTCCAGGCACTTCAAAACACCTGCCCTGTGCATGCAGGTGCTGCTACAGATAAAACATGCTTATGGGTCCTAATTAATGGTGTTTAACCGAATGAGGCCAACATGCTCCAACCCTGCTAGATTGAATCAGCCAGACAAATATTATGATAAATAGGTGTTTGCATTTCAAACTAATTGGAGATTGTGATTTATAACTGTTAATTGAAGGATGGAATTTTGCTTTGATGCTATGTACTCAGGGAAGGGGGATCCAGTTTTTGGCTTCAACTATATTAGTGCCGAAGCTATGCTACTCCCATAAAGATTCTTTAAGGCAATGGTTCTCAACCTTTTTAATGCCATGACCCAACTGGTCGTAAGTCGAGGACTAAAGCGGTCGTAAGTCGAGGACTAAAGCGGTCATAAGTCGAGGACTTTCCCTGCCCAGGAGCGCCGCACATGCGTGATTCTGCTCCCTGGGCCGGCCGAGGCGTAGCTGGCAAGCGGCAGAGATGGAGCAGGCCGACCACCAGCTGGCCCAGCCCAAGGGAGGTAAGGCACCCGCCGGAAAAGGGGAAAAAAATGGCGGACAAAAAAAATGGCGGACAGCCTTGCTTGACGACCCCCGTGAAATGGTCGATCGACCCCAAATGGGGTCCCGACCCACAGGTTGAGAACCACTGCTTTAAGGTAAACAATGCCTCGAAGTTCTTTGAAGAGTTTCATCTGTCAGAACCATGACATCGGGATATAGCAACTGGGCTGCATGGTAGAGCCTTCTATGGAATTATTGACCAACAATGTTTCTCCTTTCCCCCCCTGCCCCCCCCCAGGTCAGGGAACAGGAGCGGAATATTGCTTTGCAGATAAGGCAAGATGTTAAGCAGCGAAGAGATGAACACCTGAAGCAGTTGGCCGAAGAACTGGCGGCAGAATGGCAGAAAACGCAGGATGAGAAAATTAAAGCTCTGGAAAATCTATACCTGTCAAGTTTAAGAGCCATAGGAGAAGGGCACAAAGAGGCAAAGGAAAATGTAGGTAAATGATCGTGTCACTTCCAAAGCTTCCTGCAGATACTGTATGTTTTACTAACTGTATGGTTTGTAGAAATTTGTATTGAAAAGTTGGTGTGAACCAGTATTTTTCAACCTTGACAACTTTTAAGACATGTGGACTTCAACTCCCAGAATTCCCCAGCCAGCATGGCTGGCTAGGGAATTCTGGGAGCTGAAGTGCACACACCTTAAAAGTTGCCATGCTTGAGAAATACTGATGTACACATTTATTTCACTAGTAAGATGTCTAGGACATTTTCTCTTTTTACAGAGGAAATGTAGAGATAGTCCTCAAGTTATGACCATTTGTTCAGTGAAGTTGTGATGGCTCTGAGTATAAAAGGACGTACAACCAGTTCCATATCCCAGCAGCCACATGAACAGAATTTGATGCTTGGCTCACAAGTACGACTGGTTGCTGTTGCTAACCTCTGCCAGCTTCCCACGTGCCAAGTCCACGGGGAAGCTGGCAGGGAAGGTCACAAGTTGCTTGGAAAAGTGTCTCTCTCCCTCCCTCCCCCTGCCTTTTTTTTTTACATGCATGGCAATCTCCTCTCTCACAGCGACCACCACCCCTGTCTGCCCATGTTCGCACGCATGCATACACCTTCCTTTTCTGGATATATCTTTGTGCTTGCACACACATTGCACCTTTTTTCCTGATCCTCCCTGAGCTCCTGCTGCACCTCTTTTCACATTCATTAATTAAAATTATTTTTCTTACTTAAATTAATGTAATGCCTAGCATGCTACCCATGTCTGCCCGTTTGTCATTTCAAAGGAGCCTGATTTGGAGGCACTGGCAAAGCAAGCAGAAGAAAGGAAAGAAACAGCAAAAAAGAGGTATAAGGAAGCACTGAAAAAACAGAAAAGTCAGAAGGAGAAATTCCTGAGAGAACAAACCAGGTAATATTAAAAGATTCTTCCTTGTGTATGCATTTAAGTTTGAATTCAGCATTAACGTGACTGTCCAACTGAGCATGTTGATTTTGCCCTCCCCTCTAGTCACTTGCAAAAGATGAAAATTAAAAACTCTGATATCAGGAAAAATTGCCAGAATTGGGGACTACCTCTACAGTTTATTTTATTTTATTTATTTATTTATTGACTAACTGATTGGCTGACTTGGATTTGTATGCTGATCTAATATACATAGATTTTGAGCGGTTCATAAAACCTACAACAAAATAGCAAAGAAATAGACAAGTAAATCAATTGCGAAGTGTAGTACCCAAAGGTGTATTCAGACATCAGAAACAGACTATAAAAGGGGGCCTCCCTCTTCACAGCAGTTCGATATCCAAAGCCCTTTGGAACAATCAAGGCTTAATGATTTTTCAGAGTATAAACAGGGAGGAGTGTAATCCTTAGTGGAACTATATCAACAGGGAGAGAAGCATGCAGTGCCTCAATATTCAGTCTTGAGCCCAGTACTCTTCAGCATCTTCATAAATGATATAGATGAGGGGAATAGAACTCATCAATTGCAGATGACACCAAGCTGGAGGGAATTGCTAACACTTTGGAAGAGAGACTCAGAAGGATCTTGACAGATTTGAGCTTTGGAACTTACTCAACAAGATGCAGTTCAGTGGTGAGAAAAGTAAGATCCTACACTTAGGTAAGGGAAACCAAATGCATAGGTACAGAATAGATGGTACCTGGCTGAACAGAAGTAACTGTGAGAGAGATCCAAGTGTCCTGGTGGACCATCACTTGAGCATGAGCCAGCAATGTGCTGCAGCTGCCAAAAAAGCCAGCGATGGGCTGCATCAACAGAGGAATCGCATCAGGATCGCGAGAAAGCGATAGTACTGCTTTATACCGCTCTAGTGAGGCCACATTTGGAAGACAGAGCACAGTTCTAGTCACCACAATACAAAAAAAATGCTGAAACCCTAGAAAGTGTGCAGAGAAGAGCAACAAAGAGGATAAGGCAGGGGGGTCAAACTGCTGGCTCGCGGGCCGGTTTCATCATACCGAAGCCACACCCACCCCATTGCTGGCAATGCAAAAAGAGTCGCAATATGTTGCGTCACGTGACGTGGCGAGTTTGACATCCGTGGGATAAGGGATCTGGAGGCTAAATCATAACGGTTGAGGGAGCTAGGTATGTTGAGTCTATCAAAGAGAAGGATTAAGGGGGACGTGATAAACTGCCTTCCAGTACTTGAGGAGCTGTCACAGAGAAGAGAGGATTCACTTAGTCTCCAAAGTACCGGAAGGCAAGACAAGAAGTAAATAGTGGAAGTTTGTTAAAGAGAGATCCAACCTAGAAGTAAGGAGAAATTTTATGACGGAACAATTAATCGGTGGAATTGCTTGCCTCTCAAGAGTTGTGGATGCTTCATCACGGGAGGTTTTCAAAAACAGACTGGACAACAATTTGACTGGGAAGGTCTGCCTTGAGTGGGGGATTGGACTAGAACATAGGTCCCCCCCACCCTGGTCTATGGACCAGCAATGGTTCTGCAGCCCTCCAGGAACCAGGCCACATAGGTGAACAAAGCCCCATCCACGCACATATGGGATCCAGGCAGCACTCAAAACCACCCCACCCTCCCCAGTCCATAGAAAAACTGCCCTCCACAGAACTGGTCCCTGGTGCCCAAAAGGTTGGGGGCTAATGGACTAAAAGACCTTTGAGGTCCCTTCTAGCCCTTTGAGCCTGTATACTATATGGGGTCCCCAGGTTGTGGATCGGTACAGGTCCGTGATTGTTAGGAATTGGGCCACACAGTTGGAGGTGAGTGGCTGGTGAACAAAACTGCGCATTCACGGGATCTAGGCTGTGTGTTCTTCCTCCCGCCCCCATCTGTGAAAAGATTAAATTGTCTTCCTTGAAATTGGCCCTTGGTGCCAAAGAGGTTGGGGGATCCCTATTCTATGTAATCCTAGTAAAGATACTGTTCCAAAGAAGGAGGGCTCTGAATGAGGAGGTTTCTAGCTCACTTCACATGGCACTCTCTCGAGGAAAGACCCTGGAAAAAATTGTCTTACTGGACAGGCAGAAACCACTAAGAATTGGCGGCTCCAAAGATACCTGGTCCCTATGGATGTAGGGCTCTATAGGTGACAACCCATAAGATAACCACCTTGAACTGATACCCAAAAAGTGACCAAGTAATGACCACAGCTCTGAATGGGGAGAGTGTTACATGAGAATCCGTAGTGGTAATTATCACAACTTGAGCTGCTGCATTCTGAACTGGATCATTTCCAGGTGGCCTTCAAGGGTAGCCCCATAGAGAATGGATTGAGGTAGTCCAAATGAAAGGTGCCTTCGCTTTGAGTGATTGTAAGTCGGACTTCTTGGTTCTTCAGGTAAGACCGTAAGTGATGCCCAGGATATAATTATCTGAAGGCCTCCTAACCACAGTTGTTATCTGCTCCTCAAGCACACAAGTCAAGATTACTGACCAGTTCTGGAACATTTAGAATAGAATAGAGCTGGAAGGGACCTTGGAGGTCATCAAGTCCAACCCCCTGCTCAGGCAGGAAACCCTATACCATTTCAGACAAATGGCTGTCCAGTCTCTTCTTAAAAACTTCCAGTGTTGGAGCATTCACCGCTTCTGGAGGCAGGTTGTTCCACTGATCAATTGTTATAACTGTCAGTCAGTGGAACAACCTGCCTCCAGAAGTTCTAGCCAAGGTAGTGTGACCCGGTCCAGAACCCAAAGACAGCAAAAATTTATCTCTCCATTTCTGACATTTGTAGCTTAGAAACCTTGGAAGAGAGCGGAGGGTCGATTAACCTGTTCTATTTCTTGCTACCTATTGTCTAAACTAGGCGAGCCAATGCACGAAAGCATGCATTTGAGGTAGAAAAAGAAAGAGCGGCTAGAGTTGCGAACCTGCCTCCTCCTCCCCCCCACCCTTTTGAAGTGAGTATTCTTTCCAAATAATTTACAAACTGCTGAAATTCCAGCACTCTTCAAAATGTGATCTTGTGATAATGGCGAATATGAGAATGTATAATAGGTCTAAGCATAACACTAATACCAGTTGGTTGACTGTAAGGGATTGGCAGTATGAGTGTTGAGTGATCTTTTAGCCGGTAATGAAGCCAAAGTTGTTAAAATCAGTTTTGTCCATTCAGATTAATTAGTCCATACCTGTGTTACCCCGAAAGTAAAACCTACCCCGAAAATAAACCCTAGCTTGATTTTTGGGAGTGGATCTAATATAAACCCTACCCCAAAAATAAGCTCTAGTTTTGGGGCAAGGCGCACACCTAAAAATCAAGGTAAGGCGGAGATGGGGGTGTGGAGTTGCCCCGTGTGCCCCGCACCCACTTATCTGGCAGCCAGGTCTCTCCTTGCCAGCCCACTTCTGCGGCATCTTCTGCAGCCAGAGGCCTTCCGGAAAGGCCTCTGACTGCGAAGTGCAGGCCTGAGCTCCATTCTCAGCTGTAGAATGAAGCTGTTCGTTCGGCCACAGAAGAAGGGGGCCACCTGAGCGAGGCTGTCAGTGCCGGAGGTGAGTGGAAAAGACACCCCCCCCTCTGAAAATAAGACCTGGTGCCTTTTGGAGGCAAAAAATAAATAAGGCTGGGTCTTATTTTCAGGGAAACACGGTTTATCAAATATACATTATGGCACCTGCTGAGGAAATTTTGAATGTTTTATGAAAAGAATTTATGTGCTTCAACATTTTTTCCTGTGCCATAATTCATTGAATGTTTTATGCAAAATGTTTCCTATAATTCTTTTTTTTTTTTTTTGCATAAGTACAGGTAGTCCTCAACTTACAACCACAATTGAGCTCAACATTTATATCACTAAGTGAGAAAATTGTTAAGTGAGTTTTGCCCCATTTTACATCTTTTCTCGCCACATTTGTTAAGTGAATCACTGCAGTGAATCACATGACCCTGGGACACTGCAATGAGCATAAATGTGAGTCAGTTGTCAAAGCATCCAAATGTAAATCATGTGACCATGGGGATGCTGCAGCGGTCATAAGTGTGAAAAATGGTCATAAGTCTTTTCAGTGCCGCTGTAACTTCGAATCTCACTAAATGAACTGTTGTAGGTCGAGGACTACCTGTATTACTGAAACATACACATGTAATTGTTCGGACTCATGCTACTGACAGAATCGGCATTGCCTCCTTTGTATTCAGTGGTCCTAATCAGAGATAATTAGTTCTTAAATGCATTGAAAGTTAATTGTTACAACTTCCTTAATTTCAGGGAAATTTAAGCATGTCTAATTTATATCAAAGCGAGAGCTTCTGGCTAGGATTTTTTTTTATTTTGTATACTGTTTTGCTGCTTCAGAATATTATATATTGCAGTTAATCTCCTTTTCTGATAAATGTTTAGAACATTTTGATGTTGTTTAATATTAAAAGTATGAGCTACAAGATGAAAGATGCATAAGTAAATTTAATCGCAGCTGGAAATTCTGTAGCCTAGTTGTTTGTCATCCTTCACTGAAGTGGGAGTGGTGGTGAGGATATTAATGGCTACTGCTACAAGGACCCCTAAGCTAGTATCTGAACACTACGTATTTATTATTTATTGCACCATCTAATTATGTTTGGTTTTCAGTCCATAAAAAATATGACATTATTGTCATGCATTAATTTGCAGCATATTACAGATTGGAATATATTGAAAATGTAGGGTTCTTCTTGGGTATGCTATCTTCCTAAAGCTGTTTTATTACGATCATTAATTATGTATTTGCAATTTGTGCCATTCTTGTTGATAACTTGTGATAGTTTATCTCTGGCAGGATTTGGCATCTTATATACAAGAGACAGCCATGTAATGTTTGTTTTTGTGACTTGTAATCTCAAAAATTCACTCTTGTAAAAGCAATGCATTATTTCAACTTTTTCAGAATGTTGAATTGAAGACTATACCTGCAGTGAAAACTAGTGATGTTGATAATTTTTCGATTAGTCGGCACCATATTTTTGACCCATATGTGGACAGAGAAATGAGCACAGACCAGGTGATTTTCAGGTTGCATGTGGTATATTCTGCACAGTAACCGTTGTGTATTTTATCTATTAATTGAACACGTTTATACCGTGCTTTTCAGCCACAAAGATTCTCAGGATAGAACACATCAATAAAATGTCTCTGTTTCCAGGTTTATAGTTTGGAGTAGGGGAGATAAACAAGGAAAATTAGTTGTTTGTTAAGTTAGCAATTCATAGAGTTATAAACATCTATTTACCCGTTGAAATGAAAGCATTTTCTGATCATGCCCCAAGACTTCTTGTAATGACTAGCTGAAATAGTTTTTTAAAAAAAGGAAAGATCTTCCTATAATCACTTTTATCTCAGTTGCATTAATGGAGTGGCAGACCTTTTATCCTTCTGTTATGCCCTAAAGGTACAGTGATGGATCACGCTGTGAGGAAAGAAAAACCTCAGGTGAAGTTATCAAGGTAGCTTCTCAGTGTATTAATGGGCCCCCGTTTCCTTCTGTCTCAGTTACAGCAAGATGGAAGAAGTCTCGAAAAATGTGATCTCATGAGTTTGTGCTGTAACTACAGAAAGTAAAGATTTGCACAAAGCCTACAAAAATAGATTTTCGCTTTTGTAAGGCTGAGAATAGGAAACCTGTTTCCAAAATTACAGCCGCTGTTTCTGGTAGGCATGTCATTAATAAAATGTCAAAATGAAAATGAAAACTTTTCATCATTATCAAAACAAGTGAGGACTGTTCCCCCCCCCCCCTCCCCTTAATGTATGCTTCTAAAAATTCTCAACTGGTGAGCTAACTTAGCAATACTAATTTGGTACAATTGGAAAAGGTACTACACAGAGTGAATACGGACATAGAAGTAGTAGAACTAGTAAGACCGACAATAGAATAGTTGAAGAATAGACAATTTCACCCAAATTTCCCTTTTCATTCCTCATGTCTTTGGGAATGGTCCCTTTTAAAGACTGCTCGTGTGTGTGTATCTTTTTTCACTTGTCTTGTTGCATGTTTATATAATTCTCTAGAACAGGGGTGTCAAACTGCTGGCCGGATGCGTCACACCAAAACCGTGCCCACCGGCAATGGGAAAAAAGTCACGGCACGTCACGTGACGTCGCGAGTTTGACACCCGTGCTCTAGAACAAGGTTTCCCAAACTTAGGTGTACCTCCCTTGAGGAGTCCTGGTGGAGTTTTGAAATTCTTTAGTTGTATATTATTATAATAAATCCACTTTCCCAAAGTTTCACTGAGTTGTGTTCATTGTTCATTTGTGTTCATTTTAGAGTTTTAGGGAAGATAAATACATTAAGATTACACTAAAGGGAGATGCTGTGGCAAAATTTTAAGAACCTCTAGAGCAGAGCAGTATAGATGCCATGCATGATTCCAGACTGTATGGCAGTGGTGGCGAACCTATGGCACATGTGCCAGAGGTGGCACTCACAGCCCTCTCTGTGGGCATGTACGCCATCGCCCCAGCAGAGTTCGCCAGAGTAGCGAGCATGTGGCGTTTGGAAGCAACGGGGCAGGGACTGAGCGAGCAAGCAGCATTGGCCCCCTGGGGATGCCCTGGAGATGGCGAGGGATTGGTCCCTGCCACCCTGGTCCCGGCCCACCCACCCCAGCCACGCCCACCCAGTCTGCTATGACCACCACAGCTGTGACCACTGCAGCTATGCCCACCCAGTGGGCCAGGCCCCCCCCCCCGCTCCCCCTGACAGCACCACAATGCTGATGCGGCCCTGGCACTTTGCAACAAATAAATGGGTTTTGGGTTGCAGTTTGGGCACTCGGTCTCTAAAAGGTTCGCCATCACTACTGTATGGGAATCTTTTGAGGTCCGAATATGTTGGGAGAATGTGTTACCATGCTTTTTCCAGGAAATGCATTTCTCCAGTATGACAAATAGTAGCTGTTATTTGGGACCGTATCATGGGTTCACATACTAGGTATGGGGAGGGGGTGTAGTTATTCCCCTTCCCCCCCCCCCCCATCTTAGAATTTTGACACTATTGATTTAAAGCTGGTAGATTCATGGTGGTTATACAAGCTCATCTCTTGGGTATTGAGGTTGGTCCCAAGTTTGTTTTGGTTTTAGCCATAGAATTTTTAATTATGATTTTCTTTGAGGCACGACAGAACTTGGTTGCTAACTAGTTGCTGGTTGGTTGTCAGCCAGATGCTCGGTTGCTCGCCAAAGAGGAAGCCAAACAAAAGGAAGAGCTGCAAAACGACAAAGAAAGAGAAAAGAGAGAACAGCTGGAAAAAGCTTATTTGAGAGGGAAACATGCCTTGAAGATGGTTCGACTGGCGAGAGTAAGTAAAATGTACACCTGGTGCTTTTTCAAACACGAGTAATAAAACGAGAATTAATAATTGCAAATGATATCATAGCTTCGGTTGCTTTAAGAAAAAAAAATCTTAACATTGTTGTAAAGTATTTTGCTGAAATGTTTTGAGGTATTTTACCTTTAGCTTCCAGATTTGTACTTGGAACATTCTTTCTGTTGTCAAAGTAGAAATACATTTCATGATCTGAAAAGCTATCCTGTAGTAATTCAGACAGAGAGGGGAAGGTTTGGGGTTTGAGGCTATAAAAGTGATGAAACACAAACAGTATCTATGGGTGAAAAGTTGGCTATTAGCTACTCTATTGTCAGACCTGCTGCCACTTAAACCTCTAAATAGAAACGATCCTTGGCTCCATTTGTTGAGAAAGGTATAGTTTTATTAGAAGTCAAGTGTATTGCAATAACCCAGGGGTGTCAAACTCAATTTCATTGAGGGCCGAATCAGCATTGCAGTTGCCCTCAGGGGGCCGGGTGGGTGTGGCCAGGGTGGGTGCGGCCTACTGGGTAGGCGTGGATGGAGTGGGTGTGGCCTGTTGGGTGGGTGTGGCCAGCTCTACATCATTCGTGTCAAGGGTGCCTGTGGGAGCCTGGGCAGGAGTGGGACAGATCTGAGGGTCTCTGGCAGAAGGGGATTGGACCAGGGCAAGTGCCAAGGCATGGTCCACTGGAGGAGCCTCACTGTTCCTCTCAGGCCATGTGGGGGGGCTTATGGAGCTAAGACTGAATGCGTTTCAGCATAGATGGCCACCACAAAATTGTACATTGGCTCCCAGCTGGCCTGGGCCAGGGCGAAGGCAGAGGGGGCCGTTCCCTCACTGTTTCCAGGATGACTTCGCGGGCCACATGAAACCACTTTGCGGCCCGCATCCGGCCCCTGGGCCTTGTGTTTGACATGTCTACAATAACCCATAGCCAGAACTGAATAACCCATACCCAAAATCCGTAAGTTCAACTTTTCAAGCATTGAGATGGCAGCTAGTGCAAACTGAATCTTAAATCTTATTTTCAGGCAATTTTTACCTAATGACAATAACCAAAACTTGTATTGAAATACTTACCAAAGTGTTCAGCATTATACTTGTATTAGGAAAAAGATATGTGATGCCCAGTAGTTCTTTATTGAGAGATAAATATGCAAAGCACGTGTGGAGGCTGAGGATATGAATGTACTCGCATTTTTGTATGCAAATGATGGCACTATTGGTAGAGAACATAAATAATTTGCTGTGAAAATTAGTTAAATTATGTAATACAGTGAGCAATATGGATCTATAACTTAACGTATTGAAGACCAAGATTTTTAGTGTTGGTCTGGAAAATGCAGTAAACAACTGCAAATTATATCTGTATGCAGTGTATAGAAAAGCTAGAGCAAGTGAATGCATTTATCTTGTGTACCTTTGTTCAAATATTTCTTCATCAATTTCGTCTACCAGGTTTTGATATGGGAAAAAACAAGTGATCTGTTGCAAAGAATAAATATTTGTCAAGAGAGATAGAAATGTTGTGTATAGGAGTGTTGGTTTTTTATGGATATGAGGCTTGGCTACGCCAAGAGAGACATAAAATATGTTAGATTTGCTGGAAATGGCTTCGTTAAGATAAGTGTGCAGTAAGGAAAGAAGTTATATAATCAAGATTGAATAGGTTCCAAATGAATATGGATGGATTACAAAAACGAGTGACCGGTATAAAAGAAGTGAGTTGAAGTGGTTTTTGTCATATAGAGAAAAGCAATGAGATTTACTTGTTACTGGCATTCAGTATCAATTGTGAACAATTCTGTTTGCTATTTATAACAAAGTAATAACCGTAGAGAAGAGAGACGATGTTTATACAGGTGCATAAACATAAAAAAACTTTTCTGATCAGTATCTATTGAACTCAGAATGAATCTCGGTCCTGAGCGGAAAATGCAGGCTTTCTGTCTCTCTTATCCAACAGCCATGAAGGCTTTTTTAAAAATTTACATTTTTAAAAAAGTATAAACATATTCACACAATTAGTTTCCTTGCAAAAGTTAATAGGCCTCCTTCCACATTGAATTCCTTCTACACCTGCTGCTTGCTGGCTCCTCCCTCCTTCCACTTCCTACTCTTGGTTTTGTCCTTGATCCCCTTGCCCAGCTATTCACCCGCTGGAAGCTCCTGGCATTCTTACCTTCAGTGCCCCATTCCGCCAGCCGAAACGATGGGCTGGAGGTAAATCAAGTGCAGGTACTCCTCATTCAGAACTGTTTGAAGTTACAGTGGCGGTGAGCAAGAGGACTTACGACTATTCTTCATAGGTGCAGCTGTTGCAGTGTCCCTGCAGTCATATGATCGCAACTCAGGCACCTGGCAACCAGCTCACTATTACAATGGTCCCAGTGTCCTCCTATCAGGTGATCCCTGTTTCTGACCTTTACTGCCGGCTTCCTGCAAGCAAAGCCAATGGGGGAAGCTAGTCGGAAGTTGCCGACAATCACCTGACTGTGGGATGCTGCAACCACACTGTCGTAAGTTGGCATAGTAACATGATGTTACTGTCACTAAGCAAGGACTACTTGTAATAATAATAAACCTTTTATCTTACTCTGGGATCTTATCTTATGACTATTGTATCTTATGATTTATGATGATTGTATTTATGATTATGATCATGATTTATCACTTGTTGCTTGTATGTACACTGAGAGTTTATGCGCCGGAGACAAATTCCTTGTGTGTCCAATCACACTTGCCCAATAAAGAATTCTACTCTATTCCACTCCACCCCACTCCACTCTACTCTATTCTACTCTACTACTGTTTTCCTATATAACAGTGGTGGTGAACCTATGGCACGGGTGCCAGAGGCGGCACTCAGAGGCCTTTCTGTGGGCATGCGCACCATCACTCCAGCCCCGCCTCCCCCCACGGCCCCCTCCTCACCAGCAGCCCCCCCCCTGGAGGAGAGTCGCCCTCGAGCATGGCCCGCACAGAGCAGTGCAGCCAAGGACATGGCAGCCGGGCAGCAGGGACATGACTCCTCCCTTGTGCCCTGTCGCGCGCAGTTGATGCTGCGGGGCGCAGGTGGAAGGCGTGGCTGCCATAGCACTGCTGGGCCATCTGGGTGATCTGCGGCGGGCCATAGAGGTGGTGAATGGCCCTCCGGATGGGGGCAGAGCTGGAGTGCAGCAGGCAGGGACGGGCGGGGTGGCGGGGAGGGGCTGGTTTTGGGGCACTCGGTCTCTAAAAGGTTCGCCATCACTGCTATATAACCTCTAATCTGTTTTGGTAACCCCCAACACCCAGATTCTAGCACCCAAATTATGTCTCCGCTTCTCATAGCAATCTCCTATCAGTTTGCACCAGCTAATTACAGTTCCCTCTGTTATATGCTGTATATAACCAAAACAGTAGTAGGGCAAATAAATGAGTGAATTACTTCCAATTTGTATCTAAATTTGGTAGGCTGCATGACATACATCTAGATTTAAGTAGAAATGCCCTTCTGTGGGATATAAAAGCTCTTCTTTCTGGAAGTTTATATGTTTCTTCACTTTCTCTATTAGGGATTAATTTATTTGTGATATTCTACTAATTCAGGAGAAACATTAGAAAATTGAGTTGGTAAGGGAGAGTGTATAAGGGTTTACCTTCTCAGAATGCCTAATGTAATTTTAATGTACCTAATGTTGCAGAAAAAGGAAAACATTAATGTTTCATTTTGAGTAGCGGTTAACAATATATGTATTCAGCACACAAGAAAATCATCAGAATCGAAGCTATCATTTCATAATGAAGTATGACTAATAAAAGTTTGCTTTTGGACTATTAATCGTCTTGAAAAAAAGGAAGTCACGTGTTACTGTTTGAAGCAAATAAGTTCTACAAAATAATTTGCTTCAAAGTAAACTTGCATTTCTCTATAGATTACGTTAACATCTATATACAGGTATGTATGAAAACTTAACCCTATGATTTATACAGCTGAAGCTGCATTCTCATTAATAAATATGCCCTCTTTGCCTTTCAATTGATTTCTTTCTGAGACAAAAAAACAAACAAACCCCTGTATCAAAACTGACAGTCACGTTAGGGCAGTAAACTGATGTTTTTGGGAACGACTTTTTAACAAAACATCTCTGCTTTAAAGGACAAGGAAAAGTTAATGGAAGAGCTTGAACACATGCAGAATGTTGACCTGGCCCACAGAAGGCGGACCGTTGCCCAGATGCCCCCGCAACTCTTTGAACCGACCTATAGACGTGTGGAAATCAAAGAAGAATGGCAGAGGGATCTGGAGTGCGCCTTTGAAGACATGTACACTGGAAACATGAGTGAGCCTAATTTAGAACTGTAGACTTTTAACTGTACTTGGGGTTGATTCGGCTTTCCATCTTTCCAAGGTCAATAAAACGAGGGCCCAGATTTTGGGGGGGGCAATATGCTGACTCTGTAAACTGCTTGGAGAGGGCTGTAAAAGCCCTGTGAAGCGGCATATAAGTCTAACCGCTGTTTCTATATTGAAGTCAAAACATAGAAATTTTCAGAGGAAAACACCATTTCACCGTGGCGAAATCCAGTCACTGCCTCACATAAAATGTCTGTGTACTCTAGAACAAGCATTAAATTTCTGCAGTGCGGGGTTTTGGGGGTTTTTTCCCCAAAAAATAAATTAACAAGTCTCTTCAAAAGACACATTGGCATATTGTCAGATACAGATAGATTTTATTTAATAACCATTCATTTAGCAACTGTTTGAAGTTATAACCACACTGGGGAAAAAATTGTGGCCAATTTACATCCTTCTCATTGTCTTTACATACAATAAGCCCCATTATTCTTCTGTGCCTTACCAGTGGAGTTTTTTTTTAATTGTTATTATTCCCTCCCCCCTCCCCCTTGTATTGAATAGAAACTGGAGAAGAAGGAATTGGAAGAGAGTAAACTGTTTGTTCTTCTACACATCAAAAGCAGTGTAATCATGCTGGGAGCCCAGGGCTGGGAGCCAAGGCATACTACACAAATAGCTTACTGTATTCTCTTGCAATCCCTTCCTCTCTAATCGCTTCGCTCGGCAAGGGGAGGGGAAAGGACAAAGAGGGATTGCCTACAAAAATCATTTGCTTCCCCCCCCCCCCGCCCAAAGAGCAGAGCATTTGGGAGGAAAAGCTATTTCAAAAGAGTAACTGTTTGCATAAAATGCCCACATCTCCCAGCTATAGGTTGCCGGTGTGCAGGAAGTCCTCAACCTATGACCACAATTGAGGCCAACATTTCCCTTGCTAAGCAAGACAATTGTTAAGTGAGTTTTGCCCCATTTTATGGCCTTTCTTTCCAGAGTCAATCACTGCAGTTGCTAAATTAGTAACACAGTTGTTAAGTGAATCTGTGAATCCCCATTGACTTTGCTTATCAGAAGGTCACAAAAGGGGATCACATGACCCCGGGACACCGCAACGGTCACAAATAACATGCCGTTTGCCAAGTGTCCCAAATTTTGATCAGGTAACCGTGGAGATGCTGCAAAGGTCATTAAGTGTGAAAAATGGTCATAAGTCACTTTCTCAGTGCCATTGTAACTTTGAATGTTCACCAAATGAATGGTAGTTGCACGGCTTTTGGTATGTGCAAGACAGCAAGCAGGCATTCTAAAGGGTTTGAGAGCGGTTAGGAGGCAAACAAAAGCTGAAGATGTGAAATTGACTCCTCTTGTCTCTAGCTGGAAAGCATAGTCATGGTCACATGATTTCCCACTTAGTGACCACTTCCCAGTTAGGGTGTTTAGTGAGAACTTCCTGCGTTGATGCTGGGAGTCCCTACCAGTTTAGTGTGCCCTGCACTGGATTCCATCTAGTTGCAGTGGAAAAAACGTAATATTAGAGACTTACAGTGAATCTGTGCCCATGGCACTTTCTTGGATCATTTGGATGCTGCTCTTGATTAATAAATTGCAGCTGACAGCCCAAATAAATCAGTTTCTACATGAATAAGAAGGAACCAAGAAGCACATACCGTAGTTTTCCTATCCTAACCTTTGTTTCTAATGTTTACGATTTGGAAAAGAAATCCATTTGGGAATCCCATATGTTTGCTTTTAAGTGGATGGTGTTTCACATTTTAACAGAAATGTATTTAGGGCATAGTTTGACAATGCTATTCACTTGCTAATTCTTAACAGCAGATGATTACAATTACCATATGGCTAAAGCTCTCATTATAAATTGTCTCACCATGAGATAATTTTATCTTAGCACAGTTAACCACAAATAGAAATCGAGGTAGTGGGATTTTTTTTTTTTTTACTCTATAACCTAGACCATTATAATTTGGAAAAACAAAATATTGCACTGCTGGTTTCATGTTGCTGTTTCTTTACACAGAAATGAAAGGAGATCTTATTTTGCACCTTGATCCACAGCCTTTGCCAGCTCCCTCCGATGCATCTCAAGACGATGAACTAGAACTTTCCCAGGAACCAGAACCTGTATGTGACTTGCCTCCAAGATTGGAAAGTGAGATGGAGGGCAATGAGCCAAGCGGTACGAAGCATTTTTTTTTTTTTTTGCTAAGAACCGAAAGCTGTAATCCAGCACTTCGTGCTTACAGTCCATGCATGTGAACTGGCCATGTTCTTAGTCAAGTGGGATAGAAACCTCACTAAATCAATAAATAAAGCACAAGGTCCTTCTGCTTTGAGGTTTTTGCAGGGCATGCTTAAAAAGTTAGTGGGACAGCAACAAAGCTCCACTGAAGGCACAAGGGGGGCCTTCCCAGGAGTGCCAAGTATTAATTCCACTTTACAATGCCTTAGTAAGGCCACACTTGGAATACTGCATCCAGTTTTGGTCACCACGATGTAAAAAAGATGTTGAGACTCTAGAAAGAGTACAGAGAAGAGCAACAAAGATGATTAGGGGACTGGAGGCTAAAAGATATAAGGAACGGTTGCTGGAATTGGGTATGTCTAGTTTAACGAAGAGAAGGACGAGGGGGGGACATGATAGCAGTCTTCCAATGTCTCAGGGGCTGCCACAAAGAAGAGGGAGTCAAGCTATTCTCCAAAGCACCTGAAGGCAGGACAAGAAGCAACGGATGGAAACTCATCAAGGAGAGAATCAACCTAGAACTAAGGAGAAACTTCCTGACAGAACAATTAACCAGTGGAACAACCTGCCTCCAGAAGCGGTGAATGCTCCAACACTGGAAGTTTTTAAGAAGAGACTGGACAGCCATTTGTCTGAAATGGTATAGGGTTACCTGCCTGAGCTGGGGGTTGGACTTGATGACCTCCAAGGTCCCTTCCAACTTTATTATTAAGTTAGTACTCCCTACCAGTCAGTTGAACAGGAGGAAAGGCAAAGTAATTCTGTTCCCATGGTGCAGGAAGCTACCTCTGACTACATGAGTCTTGCTGGCCCCAATGCTTTCTGTTCAAGTTGACCCTCAGATTTATCCTGCTCAGAAACCGATAGTTGCCAAATCTTGATCATGCCCCATTTCCATATTGTTATCAAGGAAACTGCATGGATGTGCCCAGGTGGTCAGCAGAGGTGAAGCTCAGCTCAAGCTTAAATTGAACCAGTTGGATCTTGTGCAATAGTATGCAGCATGGTGACCAGGCTTAGCGTGCACACTTGGTTTGATTCATATACTATCATAAATTGTGATACTGTTTGTTGGCTCAGCAAGGTATATGGCTTAGCGAGTTGTGT